CCACACACGTCCTTTTGTGTGTGTTTTAATTGTTGTCATTGCTTGGTAATAATTTATTCAAGAAATAGCACTTCAACCTGGGATTAGGTGTTTAAAAGAATTCTTTTTTGGGGGGGTGGGGTGGGGGTGCAACAAGTCCTTTTTTCCTTTTTTCTTTCTGTTCTCCATCTCGCAAAGGTATTAACTTGTTTCTTAAAATTCAAATGGACACAATGATATGCGGGTTCTGGCATGTACACACAGGCAAACTTTTTCTCCCTCACAGTCAGTAAAATTTCACTAAACTTCTGCAAGCATCAAAGCCTGGGCCCCTCCCCCCCGCAATAGTCCTGGGAGCCGTTGAGCGTGGGTTCTAGGGCAGTTGTGCACTGGCCTCTCTCTGGGTTGATTTCGGGCACAGGAAGGGAAGTCGAGGCCCCAGGGGCCGTGAGGACCCGCAGGGCCCTTGACCAGCAGTCTGTGGCCGGAGGGTCCAAGGAGACTCAGTGGGCTGGGGGTTCCCGGAGGTTCATGCCCAGCCGCAGTAGCAGCAGAGCGCGGTGGGGAGAGGACGGTGGCCCCCTGCCCAGACCCGCCCCCGGAACGGCGGGCAGAGGTCAGGCCTCTCCTCCACGGAGAATGGGATGCAGGAGAGACCCCCGACCACGGGGTCAGAAGAAGCCGAGCCGTCTAGGCTTCGCTGCATACCTTTGAGCCCGTTTCCCCACCTGGAGTGGAGGCCGACCCCCCCAGCAGGCGTGGGGGTGCGTGGTGAGTCTCGGGCGGGGGACGCTGCAGCGGGGACAGCCCCCCCTGCCGGCACGTGCGGGCCGCCCGGGCCTCCGTTGACCCCCATCTCCTTGGCCGCGCGGAGCCGGGCGCCCACGAGGAGGAAGACGCGGAGCCCAAAGCCTGAGCCCGAAGTCACCGCCGGACGGGACCCCGCGCCGCACGCGAGGGGCCCCCGCCCGCCCCGCCCCGCCCGACTTGCCAGACGCCGAGGCCGCCTTCTAGTCCTGCCGCCGCCACCGCCGCCCGCTCCCCCGGACTGACGCCTCCGGACTCAGACCCCCGAGACGGAGGGGGGGGGGTCGCACCCACGCCCCAGGACTCGCGCGCCCTGCGCTCCCCGCGGCCCGCCCGCTGCTGCCCCCCAGGAAAGACAGTCACGTGGCCTCGGGGTGCACCTCGCTGGGCGCAGGGGGCCGGGGGCTGGGGTCCGCCCCGCGTCGGGGAGACGGGCGCTGGGGGTCGCCCACCGGGAGTCGCCGGCCCTGCTCCGGCCCCCGCCAACCAACCTGGCAACACGGAGCTCGGGCATCCGGCCGGAGGCCCCCCAGGGACCGCTGCGCGGGCAGCGCCCCCTCCTGCGGCTCCACAGCCACGGGCCGTTCCCGAGGGGCCGGCAGGGAACCCCCGGGACTGGGGACGCGGGCCTGAGCGAGGTGCTGCTGGGTGCGGGTGGGCGGGACCCTGCGCCAGGCAGGGCCCGGCACCTGTGCAGTTCGCATGGCGGCCAGCAGAGGGCGCCGCAATCCGCTCACCAGCCTGCTGGGGGTGCTGGTGGGTCCCTCACTGGGCAGGACCCGGCGATGGCCAGGGGAAACCGAGGACCCCCTGAGACCGCTCCCAGGAGCCGGGGCGGGGCGGGGGGGGGGAACATGCCCTCGCAAGGCCAGCTGGCAGTGCAGGGGAGATGACGCCAGGGCGCCCTCGTCCCCCCGCCCCCAGTTTCCCGGGAGGGTCCCTCCAAGGGAGCAGAGGCAGCGCTGTGCCCCGGCTCTGCTGGGGGTCTGGGGGGTCTGTACAGCCCCGGGGAGCGCTGAGTCTCAGCGGCCTGTGCCCTGGTTCGGTGGGTGGGGCACCCTCGGCGCCCCTAGTGGGACAGTGGGAGATGAGGTGGCATGGGGCGCTGGGGTCAGAGCTGGGGGCTCTTCTGCTTCCGTATGGGGGTCACAGAGACCTTGGTGACCTGGGCCCTCTGGGCTGGGGGCCACCTGCAGCCCCTGCTGTAGTCTGGGCGGGAGAGTCCCGGGGGCCATCCCAGCTGCAGCAGTGCTTGGGGACCATGTGGCGCAGACCCCTGTGCTGCCTCTCTGCCCCCATGTTCTTGATTCTTTCAAAGAAGCGTGTGGGAGCCAGAGACACTAGAGCAGACAGGGCACTTGCTTGGCGTGCAGAAGACTCGGGGTCGAATCCTGGCACCCCATAAGGCCCCCCTGGGTCTGCCAGGAGTGGCCCCTGAGCATCGCCAGGCGTGGCCCCAACAGTCCCCGTCACTGACACTGTTCATCGATTTGCTCGAGCGGGCCCAGTAACGTCTCCACTGTGACAATTGTTACTGTGTTTGGCATATCGAATAGGATACGTCACGGGTAGCTTGCCAGGCTTTGCTGTGTGGGTGAGATACTCTCGGTAGCTTGCCGGGCTCTCAAGAGAACTCGGGTCGCCATGTTGGCCGCTTGCAAGGCAAACACCCTTATTTTGGATCACACCCGGCAGTGCTCAGGGCTTACTCCTGGCTTTGCACTCAGGAATTACTCTTGGTGGAGCTCAGGGACCCTATGGGAAGCCGAGGATTGAACTCAGGTTGGGTCATGTGCCAGGCAAACGCACCTGGGCATTTGGGCCTCTCCCTCTGCCCCCACCCCCAAGAAAGACGTTTTCTCCCTCACAGTCAGTAAAATTTCACTAAACTTCTGCAAGCATCAAAGCCTGGGCCCCTCCCCCCGCAATAGTCCTGGGAGCCGTTGAGCATAGGTTCTAGGGCAGTTGTGCACTGGCCTCTCTCTGGGTTGATTTCTGGCACAGGAAGGGAAGTCGAGGCCCCAGGGGCCCTGAGGACCCTCAGGGCCTACAACCAGCAGTCCGTGGTCGGCGGGTCCTAGGAGGCTCAGTGGTCTGGGGGTTTTCCCACCTGGAGTGGAGGGCGCCCCCGAGCAGGCGTGGGGGTGCGGGGTGAGTCTGGGGCGGGGGCGCTGCAGCGGGGACAGCCCCCTGCCGGCACGTGGGGGACGCCCGCGCCGCCACTGACCCCCATCTCCTAGACCACGCGGAGCAGCGCGCCCCGGATGAGGGAGACTCAGAGCTGGAAGCCTGAGCCCTATGCCACCTCCACCAGACTAGGACCCAGCCCCGCCCGCCCAGGGGGCCAGACGCAGAGCCCGCCTTCCAGTCTGGCTGCCGCCGCCTCTGCCCGGACCCTGCGGACAGACGCCTCTGGTCTCAGACCCCCGCGCCCCCGCGTCCCAGGACTCGCGCGCCCTGTGCTCCCCGCTGCCCGCCCGCCGCTGCCCCCAGGAAAGACGGTCACGTGGCCTCGGGGTGCGCCTCCCTGGGCACCGGGGGCTGGGGTCCGCCCCGCGTCGGGGAGACGGGCGCCGGGGGTCGCCCGCCAGGAGTCGCCGGCCCTGCTCCTGCCCCCGCCAACCAACCTGGCGGCACGGAGCTCAGGCATCAGGCCGGAGGCCCCCCAGGGACCGCTGCGCGGGCAGCGCCCCCTCCTGCGGCTCCGCAGTCACGGGTCGGCCCCCGAGGGGCGGGCAGGGAACCCCCGGGACGCGGGGACTGGTCTGATTGAGGCGCTTCTGGGTGTGAGTGGGCGGGACCCCCGCGGCAGGCAGGGCCCGGCACCTGTGCAGTTCCCACGGTGGCCAGCAGAGGGCGCCGCGAGCCGCTCACCGGCCTGCTGGGGCTGCTGGTCGGTCCCTCACTGGGCAGGACCCGGCGATGGCCAGGGGAACCCGAGGACCCCCTGAGACCCTCCCGGGAGCCGGAGCAGGGGGTGGGGGGCGGGGAACGTGCCCTCGCAAGGCCAGCTGGCAGTGCAGGGGAGATGACGCCAGGGCGCCCTCTCCCCCCACCCCCATCTTCCTGGGAGGGTCCCTCCAAGGGAGCAGAGGCAGCGCTGTGCCCCGGCTCTGCTGAGGGTCTGGGGGGTCTGTACAGACCCCGGGGAGCACTGAGTATCGGCGGCCTGTGTCCTGGCTCGGTGGGGCACACCCGGCGCCCCTAGCAGGATGGAGGGAGGTGAAGGGGTGTGATGTCACTCTTTTCACGTGACCGCGGCGTCACGTGGCGGCGGGGCCCAGAGGCGCCAAGGCCGCGCACCTGCAGTCAGGCGGGTGAACCTGAACGTGCTGAGCGAGTTCCTGGACATGTGCGTGGGCAACAATCTGAGGGCCAGGGCGGGCAGCAGCCTCTGGGTCCGGGGGCGCCCCCCAGAGTCGGCAGCCCCGATAGAGGGGGCGTTGTGCTCCCCGCCCCTGCGGCTCGGCTCTGGGAAGGAAAACGGGGGCGACTGGAGTCAGTATCAGCAGGACGAGCCCAGCCCCAGGTCCAGGCACTCCCTGCTGTCCCCGTGTGCGGGGTGGCGCTGCATACTTCCCTGGGTACCACTTCTCCCAGCTGCCCATTCCTCCACGGTTCGCGCAATCAGTTACGCCAAATGGGGAAAAAGGACCCTGGTGTCGCACAGGCGAAATGCTCACAGGCCGCTTGGCATTCGTCCTGGCCCCCAGTGACACCATCCTTGCCTAGGTAGAGGCGAAGGTCAGCTGGAGGCCTGACTCTCTCAGGAGCACATGACACTGTCCCAGCTTTCCAAATACTCTCTCAGAATTAAGATACCTATGGGATATCTACACGAGAGGTTTTCATTTGATTGACGCTGGATTATATGACGCCTGTTACATGCTGGGTTGAACGGTTCCCTTGGCAGTTCACCCACGGGGTTCATGACCCCAGTCTGACCCCAGGACACTGCATACACACTCTTTGTGGATGACAGTGAATGTGCTTCCGTGGCCAGTAGCGCCCCTTGCCCTGACACTGTTTTTCTTCAGGCCACGGAAAATGAGTGTGGTCAGCTATTGCTAACTGCAAGTTTTGTTTGTCCAGAGTTTGCAAATGACTGTTGTTTGCTGTTGGCCGTTATTGAAATCCCTTTTACTAAAAGAACGGGATGCTTCTCCCTCCCGCAGGCAATAGTTTGAGATGAGTATCTCACAGGACCATTTGGCTTGATTGCACAGTACTCACTTCTAAAGGTAAAAAGGTTTTGGTTATTATTATTTTTTTGAAACTGTCATTCTGGACTCTAGCAAGAGTAATATGATGTTCCACTTCTGGAGTAAGTGGTGTGCAGAGCTGTCTGGTTTTTAGAATCACTGATGCTGTTATGAGTGGTAAATGTTTTATCTTCTGTGGACCTTTTGTTTATTTATTTGAAGTAAAAAAAAAACATTTTATTTGGTGACCTTTAGAAAGAGGACGAGCGGAGAGAGAGTAACATTTCAGGAGAGACCGTGGGCTTTTCCAAAGACAGAGAGAGAGCCCCTACACACATCCCAACATTAAAAAGGATAGCACAAAAGTCCCCATCTCAAGGAGGGACCGCATTTGCTCGGCTACATGGGCACAAGCAGCTCAGGGGCTCGGGCAGCATAGGAGCCTTCAGTGGACCTTTCAAGGGTGGGTCTGCACCCCCCTCTTCTCCTTGACGGAGCGGCATGTCTTCTGATTGTTACTTCATGTGGATCAAAGTTTTTCAGACACGGGATTGGTTACTTCAGCCTGAATTTATACACCTGCCTTTGGGGAATCTAAATTTTTATCCTAAAGTGGTTTTGAATTTTATTTGGGGGCTCGTGCCAGGCAGTGCTCAGGACTTACTCCTGGCTTTGCACTTAGGATCACTCCTGGCAGTGCTCAGTGGACAGTATGGGGTGCTGGGGATAGAACCCCGGGTCAGCTGAATGCAAAGCAAGCACCTTCACCACTCTACTTTCTCCCTAGCCCCAGGTCTCCTGAGCACTGCCCCTGGGCACCTCCTGGTGGTGAGTCTTAGCAGTTCGATGAGGCTTGGCGCTGTGGTGGCAGTGATATCCCAGGCCACTCCAGTGGCCTCTCTTGGGATGCACATGGCAATGCTTGAGACCCTTGTGGTGCCAGGGGACGAAGTTGGCAGTCATGTGTCAGGCATGTACCGAAACCCCTGCATTCTCTGACTCAAAACTGAAGTCTACTGTGCTTTGGAGTGGGAGTGTTAGAACACCTGAGTTTTTGTTGTTGTTCTGTTTTGTCTGGGCCACCCCTGGCAGTGCTCAGACGTACCCCTAGCTCTACACTCAGGAATGACTCTTGGTGGTGTCTGGGGACGGTGTGGGAGGCCGGCAATCCAACCCGGGTTGGCTGCCTGCAGTGATATCTGAGTTAGGGTCGGCTGCTAAGCTTTAGGGGTTCTGTTCACCATTTGTATGTGTGCTTTCCTAGGAACATGAGGTGGAGAAAATATTCACACTCAAAGGAAGCCGCTTGCGCGCAGCGGATGTCAAGAATATAATTTTTTTCGTCAGAGCCCGGCTAGAACTGATGGATATAATTGCTGAAAATGTGCTTAGGTATCTGAGAACTGTTGCATGGTCCATACGGAATCATTCCTCTAGTGGTTTTAGTGCTCATCAGGACACCTTTGCTTGCCAGCGCTTTAGGAAGTGGATCTTTGGACAGATGTGAGAGTGTGTCGGAGGAGAATGGGGGGTCAGGAGTAGGATACTCTGCAGCCAGACAAGGATAGATCCTCGGAACCCAGTGTGGTCCCCAAGTCTTCCGGGAGTGACTTCTGAGTGCATAGCCAGGAGTTATCCCTGAGCACCTGCAGGTGTGGCCCAAAAACTATAAATAGAGAATGGGAAACTTTGTGCATTGGGGCTTGGGGAGGCAGGGCAAACCACAGAAACCCACTCTCTTAGGACAGTAGAAAGCTCCGGCCTGTCTCAGTAGAAGGACCCAGATTTTTTTATAAAAAGAAAAACAGCTAGTGGTTCTTCTTCAAGTACTGAATACCATATGCTCAAATTTCATAAGCAACGTCAGGAGAAGCTGATTAATATTTAATGCTGCAGCATCTATGGAGGAAGTGCACCAGCCCAGTCTGCATTACGTTTGATCGACATGGCCCCTAAGGACTTAAAAGCATGTGGAGTATTTGCGCAAGATCGGGCACGGTGTGGAGCAACCTTTTATTTTCCTAGAGACATCACTTGATTAAATAGAAACATTTTTTTCCTGCAAGAAACAGATGTCCATTGCAATAACCCTGAGAGGTTTTGGGTGTTTTTTCCCTCTTTTTGCGTGACACCCGGCAATGCACAGGGATTACTCCTGGTTCTGTACTCAGGAATTACCCCCGGTGGTGCTCAGGGGACCATATAGGATGCTGGGAACTGGGAATCGAATCCGAGTCGGCCGCGTGCAAGGCAAACGCCATACCCGCTGCGCTGTTGCTCCAGCCCCAACCCTGAGAGTTTTCATGTCCCATCAATGGCCCAAGAGAAAGCAGCACTGCCCCTTGGCAGAGCACAGGTCAGCGGTTTCCAGAAAAAGCATCACATCAAGAGAGCAGGAAAACTCGAATCTTGGGCCGAGTCAGTAGTGGGGGGTTAGCTCATAAGCGTCTCTTTAGAGCCCACTGTGTGTCAGGCACAGGTGGGGCCCTGGGGAGCAGTCCTCGCGTCGGGGCCTTGGGACAACGCACAGTCCTTCTCTTGCAGTGAAGACAGACATGGCTCCACAAGAGATTTCCACATTTTGTTTGTGCCCCGGCGTAACCTGCTGTGTGAGCAGCGGCTGAAGGACCTGGGTGTCCTGGGCTCCTTCATCCATAGGGAGGAGTACAGCCTGGACCTCATTCCCTTCGACGGGGACCTTCTCTCCATGGAGTCGGAGGGCGCCTTCAGAGTAAGTTCAGTGTTTGCCCTTTGAACTTGACACTCATTTCTGCCTCATTTGTGATGGTGACACTCACACTGGCATTTTAGTGATTCCTGGAAGTGTCCAGTTTCTTCCTTTTGGGGAGAGATGGGAGTTGGTCCACACCCAGCAGTGCTCAAGGTTTACTCCTTTTTCTGTGCTCAAGGATCACTCCTGCGCATGCTCGGGGACCATATGTGGTGCTGGGGCTAGAACCCAGATTGGCTGCGTGCAAGACCAGCGCCTTCCCCTGTGGTGTCTCTCCGGCCTCTGCTCCTCTTGCTTATGGAGAACCTCCCGTTCCAACAAATTGGCTTAAAATTGTTGTTGCCCTTACTGAATTCTCAAAAATCAATTGTCCTTAAATGTGTTGATTTCTGGTGTTTCTCTGCTGCTGTTCGATGTTTGTCCTTGTGCCCGTCCCACCCTGACTTGACTGTGGCTGTGGAGGAATCTTTGAGAGTGGAAGGCAGGGCCGCTCCAGCCAGAAAGAGTCAAGTCTGTCATTGCGTTTTTCCAGTTAGCCCTTTGTGAGTGATTTTGTTTCCATGACTCGCCTTTCCCCTTGATTGAGTCTTGGCAAGACCTGAAGACTTTTATCTTACATTTTCATTTTCTAGAAATAAAATTGCTTACATTTTTCATTCAAACTCTTGAGGTTCTGCAGTGTGACCTCAGGGCTGGGTGCAGGGTGTGCGGGAAATTCTGTTTCTCCCACACGCCCGGCCCAGCCCGTTTCCTACTGGTTATTTTCAGCACATATTTATTTGTGATTTATTTGAGATCTCCAAGCCTGCACGGTTTGGGACTAGACCTGTCAGTAGCTAGACAGTTACACCCTCCAACTGCCGTGTAACCCCAACAACGGCCAGGATCCAGAGATTATCACAACAAGCTCCCGGGAGTGCGTGGCCACGAACATAATTTACTTTTCTCTAAGTTTTCAGGGTACCTTAAATATCCAACCCACACGGCAGAGCCTGGCAAGCTATCCGTGGTCTATGCCAAATAGACCAAATTGATATGCCATATCCAGTAATAAATTGATCTCATTTCCCTAACCCTGAATATGCAGAGTCGAGAAGGATATGGAAGGAGAGGCTGATAAAACACCAAGGCAGACATAGGCTGCCAAAACGCAGAAAAACAAAAATGATTGTCTGTACTTTTAATGCTCGTACGCTGGCATCTACTGCATCCATTGAAGACCTTATGGTACAAGCGCGAAAGATCAAGTACGACATCATTGGTCTGACCGAAACGAGAAGACATCAATCCCATCATGCTGTTTTTGACACTGGAGAAGAACTGTTCCTTGGAACATGTGATAAAAGAGGTGTCGGTGGTGTTGGTATCCTTGTCAATACAAACTTAGTCATGAGCATTGATTCATTCGAATGCCTAACAACCCGAATCGGACGATTACACTTGAATAAATGTGGCTCACTACCGGAAGTTTCTATCTTTGTTGTCTATGCACCAACATCCAGTTATGGTGAAAGAGAAACTGAGAAATTCTACATGGAGCTGGAGAAGTTCTATAAAGAAGATCACACCTTCTACAAGATCATTGTCGGTGATTTTAATGCCAAGATAGGACCAAGAAGATCAGTCGATGAACTCCACATCGGAACCCATGGCCTGGAATGGAACGAACAGGGTGACAGACTGTTTGAGTTCATCATGTCAACCAAAACCTTCCATGGTAACTCACAATTCCAAAAGGCTGAATCTAAACGTTGGACATGGGAGTCTCCCGATGGACGGTTCCACAATGAAATAGACCACATCATATTCAATCGGCGGTTTTGCCTAACCGACGTTGCTTTTGTCCCAAAATTCCAAACAGGATCAGACCACCATCTTCTTAGTGCAAAATTCTACCTCACAGAATGAGGAGAAAAGAATGCAAGGTTTAAGAAGAGGACTCCCAGAACAACCACCAACTGGGAGCTCTTTGGCACTATTGCGGCAACATGGGAAGATGCCGTCATTGACAACATTGATGAGGAATACGGTCGAATGATTCAGCACCTCCATGATTGTGCAAGGAATGCCAAGAGATAGATAACCACAAAAAACCATCTTTCTTCGAACACTCTTGAACTTATTCGCCAACGTGGGTTGGCACATGCCTCAGGCAACCACAAGCGAACATCCAAACTGGCAAAACAGTGCAGAGAAGCCATCAAGGATGACCTCAAAAACAGGAGAGCAGCAGTACTGGTAGATGCAGCAGAAGCTGGGAAAAACATTCGTAATGCCCGCCTGTCCTTCACCAACTACAAAACCAAGATAACTGCCCTCCGACATCATGATGGATCTATCTCGTCTTCCAGAAGGGCAATGGAGAAGATTATTCATGACTTCTACTCAGATCTCTTTAATAGCCACATCGACTTGCCCACATACCACATACCACATGATGGATATGTCGTTCCCAATGTTCTCCCTTCCGAAATCCAACATGACATCTCGTCGGTAAAGAAACAAAGAGCACCTGGCCCAGGCAAGATCAGACCTGAACAACTGAAGAACTTACCATCAGTACTCATCAATACATTGGTTCAACTCTTCACACGCTACCTGTCTGAATGCAAGGTTCCATCCCAATGGAAAACCAGCAGGACTGTACTACTATACAAGAAATGAGACACCCACGACATTGGCAACTATCGCCCAATCTGCCTAATGTCTGTCATCTACAAACTATTCACTCGAGTCATCCTGAATAGGATTAGCAGAACGCTAAATGAAGGACAACCATGTGAACAAGCTGGATTCCGAAAAGGATTCAGTACCATCGACCATATCCACACAATAACCAAGCTCATTGAGGTATCTCGGGAGTTCAAGATGCCGCTCTGTCTAACGTTCATTGATTTAAAGAAGGCCTTTGATTCTGTTGAGACGGAAGCGGTCATGGAAGCCCTAGCCAATCAGGGCATACAAACTCAATACATCAGGATCCTTCGTGAGCTCTATTGTGGGTTCACTACCAAAATCTCACCATTCTACAAAGAAGTAATCATCCATATCAAGAGAGGGGTTCGGCAGGGTGATACCATTTCACCAAAACTCTTCAGTGCCACCCTCGAGAACATCATGCGACGATGGAATGGGAAAACATGGGAGTGAAGATAGATGGTCGGCAACTACACCACCTCCGCTTTGCTGATGACATCGTTCTAATAACACCAAACATCAGCCAAGCGGCACAAATGCTGAACGAATTTGACCGTGAATGTGGAAAGGTCGGACTACAGCTGAATCTTACGAAGACAATGTTTATGAGAAACAGCCTTGTTCCTGGCGCTCCATTCGCTCTCAACGGAACCACCATCTCCGAATGCAATGGTTATATATACCTAGGTCGAGAAATCAACATGATGAATGACCTGGCACCTGAGTTGCGCAGGAGGAAGAGAGCGGCTTGGAATGCCTTCAAGAGCATGGAAGAAATAACTAAAAGGACAAAGAACCTCCAGCTACGAACACATCTCTTTGATTCCACTATTCTTCCTGCATTAACATATGCCTCAGAGACCTGGACCCTACGAAAACTGGATGAGAACGCTATTCGTGTCTCTCAAAGAGGAATCGAAAGCACTATGCTTGGAATATCACGATTCACTCAAATGAGAGATAGAATCCGGAGTTCTGATCTTCGTCAACACTCAAGAATCAGGGACGCTGTCTCATTTGCCAAGACATCAAAAATCAGATGGGCTGGACACGTAATGAGGTTTACAGACAACCGCTGGACTAGAGCCATTACTGATTGGATTCCACGAGACATCAAAAGATCACGTGGACGCCCACCTATAAGATGGTCAGATTCCTTCGTCAAGACCCTAAATGATCGGTTTGAGGCTCTGCATGTTCCTAGAACGAACAGATACCATTTGGCTACGCTAGCACGCAACCGGGATGAATGGAGACATTACTGGCACCCGCTCGAATAAATCGATGAATAACGGGGATTAAGTGATTAAGTGATAAGTGATTTATTTGTTTGCTTTGCTTTGGTTTTTGCTTGGGGCCTCACCTGATGATGCTCAGGGGTTACTCTTGGGGGTCCTCAGGGGTCCATATTTGACTCTTTGATGCCAGGGAAGCACCTTCCCACTATACTATCTATCTGGCTCCCGGAGTTTTTCTTTTTTAAATATTGTCTTTTTCTGAAAGGTTGTGTTTTGTTTGCAAATATGATTTTATATGTTTTGTTTACTATCTTTATGACAGGGAGCACTTCTGAAAAATTTCTCTTTCAATGTGTCAGGTTGGCTCTTAGGGGTGCCCAGGCCAGAACTCTGGCTCTTTCTTCTGTGGGGTGAGGTTTCTCCATGCTGAGTCCCTTAAGATAATCTGTAGACCCAAAAGCATTGATTTATTTGAGTTTTCACCCAGATGTTTTTCCTATGGCACATTCTTCACTGGAAATAGGGAAAATTGGGCATGGCTAGAGTTCTGGCAGTCCGAGTGGGGACCCCCCCCCCCCAAGTGTGTAACCACCACCTAGAGTGTGCGACCCTCAGCCTCAGCAAGAAAGGGAGGGAAAGGGAAAATAAATACCGGAATGAAGGGGAAGATGCAAGGGGGAAACACATCAGCTTGATAATGTCTTCTAAAAACGGCGTACCGGACCAGAGAGATAGTAATGTGGGTAGGGCACTTGCCTTGTCCCTTGCAGACCCGGGTTTGTTCCCTGGCACCCCATACGGTCCCCCAAGACCCGCCAGGTATGACCCCCAGTGCCAATCCAGGGAGTCAGCCGGAACCCGTGCACGGCCCCAATGCTCCCAGTGCCTGTCTGCGCCCTCTGCGCCCTCTATCATTGGAAGCTTGTGCAGGTGTGTTTGAGACGCGACCAAGTTTCCCTGCATTCCTTGGGCGTGTGAGTTGATTTGCGGTGCTGCTGCTGCTGCTGGTCTCAAGACACGACCTTTCGAGAACGCAGGTGCATCACCAGATTTCCGGGCACCATTTCCCCTCGGCATGTTGGTCTCAGCTGCACCTTAAGAGAAAGAACCTGGGGCTCGCTTGGGTTTTGGGCTGCTGTCACCCAGCTCCCTGTGGGTTTGCTCACGTCTCTGGGCTTCATCCTGTGGAATCCAGGACTTTCCTGGGCTCCCCAATGGTCTCTCCCCACCCCAGTCATGAAGCAGGGAGGGGCTTGCATGGCCTTGTTTGGTGACAGGACACAGGCCTGCATGCCCCTGTGTGGTGACAGGACAGGGGCCTGCCCGGCCCTGTGTGGTGACAGGACTAGGGGTTCGCCTTCCATCCGAGCCATTGCAGGTCTGGGAGCGGCCTCTCTGCTCCCTTTCCCAGTCAGCAGTGTGTACGCGTTGAGGAAGCGGCTTGGTCACCCCAGCTGAGGATAGGAGCTTTCTCAGTCACACCCAGGGTTGCTCCTGGCCCTGCGTGGGGGGGGCAAGGCCATCCCAAATGACAGACCCCAGACAGTTCGTTGCCACGGGCCCCACATCCGCCCGTGGATGCTGCATTCACGCCCTCTCTCCCGCCCTGAGCCACGACGGCCCCCGAGCCCGCATCACCTGGGGAGCCCCGAGTTCAGGACAGGAGGGACCCACACACCACCAGTTATGACCCTAGTGGCTGTTAAGGAGGAATTCCAAGGGCTGGAGCTAAATACATTCGGAGGGCATTTTCCTTGCACGCATCTGACCCAGGTTCAATCCCCGGCATCCCATATGGTCCCCGAAGCATCACCAGAATAATTCCTGAGTGCAGAGCCAGGGGTATCCCCTGAGCCTCACCGGGTGGGAGTTGTTAGAGGTGTCTCTGTAGTAATACGCCGTTTTTCAAAATGAATGTTTTGTTTGGGTGCTCGGGGCTGGGCAGGGCCAGGCAGGAGCCGGCTTAGCTGTCCGCAGGCAGACACAGTTCCCTCTCTGAACAGTCACCTGTGCCCCTGAGCAGTTTGAAAGAGGCCCCCTAATGCTTTCCTTCCACTGAATCTTCCTCTCTGCTCTGCTCCAATGCGGAGTTTCTGGTCCTTTTCTGAGGACTCTTTGGACATCCCGACCATGATATTTTGGACTGAAGTGTGAGGCTGCACCCCAGACTTGGCAGAGACATCCTACGTGATCTTTGGGGATGTTATGCTCAATCTGGGCCAGGCTCTCTCGGAGGTCTCCCTCTCTACCCCGCCCTCAGTCTGCACCCCTCGTCCTCATGCCTCTGCGGTGCATGCCTGTTGGCTGCTGCCTTAGACAGGGTCAAAGATTCCACAATGAGGGGCCGGAGCAATAGCACAGCAGGTAGGGTGTTTGCCTTGCATGCGGCCGATGCTGGTTCGATTCCCAGTATTCCATATGGTCCCCCGAGCACCACTAGGAGTAGTTCCTGAGTGCATGAGCCAGGAGTAACCCCAGTGCATTGCCGGGTGTGACCCAAAAAGAAAAAAGATAAAAAGAGAGTCCCGCGATGGGCACCAGCAGTGCCGCCCCATCAGGTGGAGTGCAGGTGAAGCGCGTTGCGTGAGTTCCCTCCTCTGCTCTCTGCACTTGCTGGATGAAGGGATTGAGGCACAGGAGAGATCTTGAGGCCCCGCTGGCGACCATGTGTGCTCTGTCAGCCCTGCTGAACCACCCGGCTGGGCGGCGCGTGCGTGCTCTTTGCTCTTTCTGGGCCAAAGATGTTTCTTTTTGTCTGTGTGTTACATGGACCTTGTGGCCCTTCTCCGAGACCGTGGCTGCCCTCCTGCTGTCCCCTGTGACACTCGCTGCTGTATGTGGGAGAGGCTGCCTGTCCTTCTACAAGCCCAGAGTGTTCTGCTGTGTGGTCACGCGGGCAGGCGGAGGCCAGCCTTTCCTCGCCCGCCCAGCAATGCTTGCCCCCAGTAGAGATGCTGCCTTGAGGCCTCGGTGCTGACTCACAGAGCCTGTGCCCACACGCCTGGCCCTCTCCCACAGGAGTGCTACCTGGACAGCGACCAGACGGGCCTGTACCACGCGACCAGGGGCTTGATGACCCTGCTGGCCTGTACGGGACCATCCCCTAGATCTTCGGCAAGGGCGAGTGCGCCAGGGTGAGCTGGGGCGGGGAGGGAGTCCTCTCTCCTGCGGGTGGGGTTTGGGGCTCCACCTCGCAGTGCTCTTGGCTCTGTGCTCGGGCCACCAAAATGAGTCTGTCTGCGTGCAAGGCGTGACCCCTGGCCCCTCTGCTGTCTCCCAGCCCTCTTTCCTTTTCTCTTTTCTGTTCTTTATCTTTTCTTTTCCATCCCTACTCTCCCTCCCTCTCTCGCCCTCTCCCTCCTCCCGCCCTCTCCATACCCTGCAGTGCTCGGGGCTCACTCCTGGCAGGGTTTGAGGGATCGTACGTGGTGCCAGGAATTGAACCTGTGTCAGCCACCTGCAAGGCAAGCATCCTACCGACCATACTGTCTCGGAACTATCTTGTTTTATTTTATTGTTCCCTTTTTTTCCGCCTTATTTTTAAATTTTGGATTGCCGGGCACCTTTTAGCTTCATTTTAAAATCCGCCCATTGCTAAAAAGTCTCTCCCTGATTCTGTACTTTGTTCCCAGCAAGTGGCCAATATGATGATGAGGATGAAGAGAGAGTTTACAGAAAGTCAGAATTCAATATTTCCTGATTTTGATAACCTCTTGTTGCTTGATTGGAATGTGGATTTATTAACACCACTTGCAACTCAGCCGACATACGAAGGACACATCGATGAAATTTATGGCATCCAGAACAGTAAGTGAAGTGACATCATTTACTAATAGGTTAGCTGAGTAAAATCAATCTCAAAAGTGTCTGTTTTTAAAGGTGTGGCCTTTGTGGGTAAGTCAGAATACTTGAAAATGTCAGGCACTGACTTTCAGCCCAAGGTTAAAGCGAGCTCGAGCCAGGACACCATCGGGGAAACCGAGGCTAAGGCCTTGTGCAGAGGGCCATGCGGTGTATAGCCCCGCTGCTCGGGCCGCCCAAGGAGGCATGAGGAATAGAGCGTTTCTGAGGGGTGCCTGGGTCCGAGGTCAGGGGGGTTTGGCCCCGGATGTTAGATTCTGTAGCATTTCAGATCTGAGTGGGGGCTAGGAAGGCTCATGGGGCTAGTGCCAGGCGCACAGCCAGCGCTCGGTGCCATCCGCGCTCCTGCCTCGTCCAGTGAGCACTGAGCCGGGAGTAGCTCCTGCTGGAATACAGTCTGAGAAGTTTCCCACAGTCTGATTCGTGTCTTTTGTTCAGAACAGGGAGCCCCAGGCCGCAAGAGGGGTAACTCCGGCGCCTTCAGGAGTGGCCCTGGCCGGGGGCTGGGGAAACAGCCCTGGGGATAGAGCCCAGGTCTGGAAGGACAGGGATGCAGCTAACTGCATGGGGTCTCTCTGCGGACACAGAGCCCTGCAGCTGCTGAGTGCTGGCCGAGTGCAGACAGTGCTGTCTGTCCAGTGTGCCAAGCTAGTTATCGCAGAGTGGATTGCGATGGCGTGTGTGTGTGTGTGTGTTCGTGTGTATTAGTGTGTATGTCACTGCAGTGGTGAATGCGTGGCTCAGTGACAGCGGCCACGGAAGCAGAACAGGACCACACATGGAGGCATTTCCACACAACAAAGCGTTTTTCTGCTCTTTCAGGATTATGGGGGTGTTTCCGGTTGTTTTTTACCAGTTGTTCCGAAGGATAACTTCTTAAGTTGCTTCCTTTTGTGGGGACAGTCGTAAGCAGTGCCCAAGGGACTGTGGGGCTGATCTCGGTGATTTTCTGCTCTGTGGGGCCAGTCTGTGGCCCTGGAGCCACCGGGTTGTGCCTGGCAGCAGCTGGGGGTGATGCCACACACACAGCCCCTCCCCAGACTCCTGCTCCAAGGTTTCACTGGCACGGGAGCACCCCGTGAGAGGGGTCCCTGCCTCCTGGTGCTTCTGCAAGTCCTTCGAGGGATCTAGCAGAGGTGCTAGGGTTTTGGGTGCAGAGGTGTCAGAGATGGGGCTCGTGGGGTGCCTCCGTGGGGAAGGAGTTTCGGGAGCTCACAGTCTCTTCACATCACACACTTACTTCTGGTCAAACATTTAATTAAGGGAGAGGGCTGGAGTGATAGTACAGTGGGTAGGGCGTTTGCCTTGCACACGGCTCAGCCCGGGTTCAATTCCCAGCATCCCATATGGTGCCCTGAGCACCGCCAGGAGTAATTCCTGAGTGCAGAGCCAGGAGTGACTCCTGTGCATTGCTGGGTGTGACCCCCCCAAAAAGAAACCATTAAGAGAAATCTTAAAAACAAGGAGAAATTGGGCTTCCCCATAACCCCCCAGCTCTGCGCCCGTGGCTGGACCGAGGGCGATGGCAGGCCCGTGCAGGAGCTGCGTGCAGGCTGCCTGGGCCAGCGGCTGCCCCTCTGCTTTGAGCTGGAATGCGAGGTCTTGCCGACCTCGTGTATCTCAGCATGTGCTCAGGCCCCGGGTCCCGCGGCCACCGTGGCGTGCTGTCTCCAGACGCTGGTGCCCGGGCTGTTCCGAGGGGCTTAGGATTTGGAAAGCATCCGAGAAGTATTTTTCTTCCGTCAGTCACTTTCTCTCCCCACATTCTCCAATGCAGGAGTTCTTGTTGTTGCTTTATGATTCTCAGCACCCACCCCACAGTGCTCAGGGCCCACATGGGGCAGTGCTCAGAGGAACATACAGCTGGACTTGAGCGTGCGCTGCCCCCGATGACCCGTCTCTCTGGACCCACAGCAGTTGGAGCTGATTGTGTGTAGACACGTCGGGATTTGTGTTGAAAGTGGAGGAGATGATTTTTTGAAAGGAACCAACTTGGAGCTAGAGGCAGTGCAGCAGTTAGGGTGAGTTTGGTCCCCAGGACCGCATATGGTTCCCCCAGTCACTGCCAAGAATTAGCCCAGAGCACAGAGCCAGGAATAAGCCTTGAGCACTGACAGGTTTGGCCCAAAAATCAGAGAAAGGAAACAGAAAGGAAAGAAGCCGTCGGAGCTGTCTCCTGCCCTCAAGCACACTTCCATGCTGAGATGATTCCTGGGATCTTGTTTTTTTTTTTTTTTTTTCTTTTTCTTTTTCTTTTTCGGAGAGTGTCTTCCCTGCATGGCAAAGCCTGGCAAGCTACCCATGACGTGTTCTATATGGCAAACAAAGTAACAAGTCTCAAAATGGAGACGTTACTGGACCCGCTTGAACAAAATCGATGAACAATGGGAGGACAGTGACAGGGGTCACACTTGGCAATGCACAGGGGTAACTCCTGGTGCTGCACTCAGGAGTTACTCCTGGCGGTGCTCAGGAGGGCATATGGGATGCTGGGAATCGAACCTGGGTCTGCCCCATGCAAGGCAAACACCCTCCCTGCTGAGCTATCACTCCTGCCCCATCCTGGGCTCCACTTGGCTTGTTGAAATGGTGGTATAGACGGCATGCACTTGCACGCACCAGCAGGACAGACAGTGGGCCGCCCTGGGGCATGTTTCCTCGGGTGGCCCCATCCTGAGTTCGGTTAAGGCTGGCAGTGGCAGGAGGCGTCCCGCGGACCAGGCCAGGGAAGCCGTGCGTGAAAAGCGTGAGTGTCCTACGCAGGTGTGCATCTAGTGACTCAAAGCCCAGTGCTCTCCCCTGACAGGAAGTCTCTGGAGTCTCACTTGGGGTGTCCCCTCCCGTGCAGGTCATGTAAAGCTGCCACCCGAGAAATTCGTCCTGTAGAGGCAGGGTGATATGCAGGACCTGCCCACAGAGGCCAAGAAGCTGCCGCTGGACTCAGCAGAGGAGCTCTACGCCGAGATCCGAGACCGCAACTTCAACGCCGTGGGCGCTGTGCTCAGCAAGAAGGCCAAGGTCATCTTGGCCACCTTTGAGGTGACTGGGGCCTGGGGCCAGGCGGCAGGCGGGCTGTGCGCGCCCGGGGAAAGGTGGTGCCAGGCCCTCTCCTGGTGTCAGGTCCTTTGCCAGTCATTGTCTGCACTCCCGGTCCCTCCCTCCTTCCTCCCAGCCGCTGGATATAGGGAAAATTGGGTATGGCTGGAGTTCTGGCAGGCCGAGTGAGACCCCCCCCCCCCGACGTGAGTAAGCACCACCTACAGGGTGCGACCCTCAGCCTCAGCGAGAAAGGGAGGGAAAGGGAAAATAAATACCCGAATGAAGGGTAAGATGCAAGGGGGAAACACATCAGCTTGATAATGTCTTCTAAAAACAGCGTACCAGGGCCAGAGAGATAGTAAGGTGAGTAGGGCACTTGCCTTGCCCCTGGTAGACCCGGGTTCATTCCCAAGCACCCTATACGGGCCCCCAATCCCTGCCAAGTGTCACCCCCAGTGCCAAGCCAGGGAGTCAGCCTGAACCCGTGCACTTCCCCAACGCTTCCGGTGTCTGTCTGCGCCCTCTGCGCCCTCTGCCATTGGAAGCTTGTGCAGGTGTGTTTGAGACGCGACCGCGTTTCCCTGCATTCCTTGGGCATGTGAGTTGATTTGTGATACTGCTGCTGCTGGTCTCAAGACACGACCTTTCTAGAACGCAGGTGCATCGCCAGATTTCCGGGCACCTTTCCCCCTCAGCATGTTGGTCTCAGCAGCACCTTAAGAGAAAGAACCCGGGCCTCGCTTGGGTTTTGGGCTGCTGTCACCCAGCTCCCTGTGGATTTGCCCATGTCTCTGAGCTTCAGCCTGTGGAATTCAAAACTTTCCTGGGCTCCCCCGATGGTCTCTCCTCACCCCAGTCATTGAGCAGGGAGGTGCTTGCATGCCCTTGTGTGGTGACAGGACATGGGCCTGCCTGCCTCTGTGTGGTGACAGGACAGGGACCTGCCCGACCCTGTGTGGTGACAGGACTCGGGGTTCACCTTCCATGCGAGTCATAGCAGGTCTTGGAGAGGCCTCTCTGCTCCTTCTTTTCCCAGTCAGCAGTGCAGAAGCGTTGAGGAAGCGGCTTGGTCACCACAGCTGAGGGTAGGGGCTGTCTCGATCACACCCACGGTCGCTCCTGGTCCTGCGCGGGTGGGGTGGGGTCATCCCAACAGACAGACCCGAGACAGTTCGGAACCAAGGGCCCCACATCCCCCTGTGGATGCTGCATTCTCGTCTTCTCTCCTGCCCTGAGCCACGATGGCCCCCGAGCCTGCATCCTGGGGGTGTGCGGGGAAGCCACGGCTCAGCTCATCTGAGCTGCTCTCAGGGGCCCGCACTCCGGGTAGTCTGCTCGAGGGACCCCAGAACTTGGGCACCCTGGCGTGCCTCATGTGAGCAGTCAGATTGGGCTCAAGGCGCTGGGGGGCTCGCCCCGCCCGGGTGGAGATTGCCAAGGGCCCCGGCGCCCTCACCAAGGTCCATCTCTGAGGCTTCCTCGTGTGAATATGAGGGATCTTCCAGCAGTCACAGGACGGAGTCTGCTGCTTGTGTCCGACCCCCCCCCCCCCACACACACACAGAGGCTGATTTTTATGTAACTTCCTCATAGAACGGTGTGCGGTGCTGCCCGAGGGGAACAAGGGGTCCTCAGTGTCCTAAAGGGGGAAAATGACCCAAATTGAGGTGCTTCCTGTGTGCCAGTGTCCCATCACGCCACAGCTCCCAGGGCTGGTGTTTCCCTGTCCAGAAGATGCTGGACAGACGTGAGCCAAAGCTCTAGCTGGGAGGAAGCATTTGTACCGCGGGATGAAATAGAACTGCCTTTGAGTCAAGCTGACATTTTCAAGAAATACAAAACAGACTTTTTCCCCCCATTTTTAGTACCAGAGCAGATAACCCCCAAGGTTATTTGCTTCCCTGAAAGATATTTAGCTTGCCCTTTCAAAGTTCATTTAGAGCAGATCTTGGCGTTCAATCCGAGTTGGGTGCTAACCGAGGTCAGAGTGTTTGCTTATTTGTGGCCTTCTTTGTCTCTTAAGAGGAACCGTAGTTAGAGGCCACCAGAGAAAACAAAACACAAGCACCCACTTCCTCCCAGCTTGGTTCCTCTGTTCTCAACCCCCGGCCATTTGTCTATGCATCTTCCCCAGAACAGGCGGGGGACAGAGGTAGAAGGAAGGTCTGAGAAGCCCCTGCATGGTGCTCCCCGAGCAGTGCTCCCCATCTTTGTGACTTCTGTTGAGATTCTGAAATGAGTCATCAGGTGCTAGTGACAAATGTGTCATGTACGGCATGACACAAAGGTGGAGTTTGTGCCATCAGTTCCCATGGTGGGAGAAGGTCGGGTTTTGGGGGTCAGTGGCAGGAGGATATGACCCATAGCATGTCAGATTTATCTCGGGTGGGGGAAAACGGGTCGTTTGGGGAGAAGTGTGCTTGGGGTACAGATTTGCCGCGTTTTTCTGGATTTCTCTCTCTCTCTCTCTCTCTCTTTTTTTATGTAGGAGTTCTGCTATTTATCCAGCCACTGATTAGCTGATTGAATTGTGCATGAACTCCATCTTACTTTTTTTTTTTCACTTTTTATGATTTTATTTATTGAATCACCATGAGAGCAGTTACAAAGCTTTCAGGTCTAAGTTTCGGTCATACAATGAAACAGCCGTACCATCACCAGTGCCCATACTCTACCCCCAACAACCTCAGTATATCCCCATCCCACACCCTCCCCCTACCAGTGGGGCAGATGATTTCCACATTACTCTCTCTCTACTTTGATGACATTCAATATTTTAACACCAGACCCACCATTATTATTTGAGATTTTGCCCCAACACTCAGATCTGCTGAAAAGGCAACAGGAGACAATTTGTTTCCTATTTCTGGTTATGAATAACACATGATGTTTCATGGCTGTAGTACTGGCCGCACAATTTTGAAATTCCGAAATTTGAACACTTAAATCTGGAGGGATTTCTGCCAAAACCTGCTGGGTTCCTGAGAATTGCTCCTGAGTCTCTGGGATCATGGTCGTTAAGCAGCTTGATCAGGAACCAGAAAGGCCGTCTGTGGACAATGACTTGGGGTCTCTTGGGGACGGGGAGGACAGGACTTGCTCCACCACCATCCTGTGAGGCCCAACAAGTTTTGTCACTGAGGTCCCAAGCTTGACTGTCCAGTGGCCTCTGGAGGATGGCGGCCACCGGGCCACCAGAGGAAACAGGCCAAGGCATGAAACCGTGGGCCCAGCACAGCAGGGACCAGACGCATTTCTGCCAAAAGCCACTGGGTTTCGAGATTTGTTTCTGAGTCTCTGGGATCATGGCCATTAAGCAGTTCATTCAGGACCCAGGGAGGCCATGCCTCCAATGATACAGCTGAGCCGGAGGTGATTTGTGGGTGTGTTTCCCACGTACCTAACTTTTGACCGTTTACTTTCTTGGTAAACTTTGCCCCAAGTTTTTGGGGTCTGGCCAAAGGCACAACAGCAATTTGGGGGTATCTGGAAGTGTGGAGGCGCCATCAGGCTGCTGATGAACTCGCCTCACAGGTACAGTGTTTTTTGTTTGTTTGTTTGTGTTTTTATGTAGAAGTACTGCTATTTATTCAGCCACTGATTAGCTGATTGAATTGGGCATGAACTCCACTGTCAAAAACTACGCACGCAGAAGGTTGTGTGTTCGTGGGCTCTCTGGACGGCTCTATCTCACCGCCTGTGTTCAGTGCCCTAGAGCCACTGTGTGTGGCCTGCATCGGGATGGTTGTTGGCCAAGGGCAGATGAAGGAAGAGATGAGGGCAAGACTGGTTGATTTTTGTAGCAGTTTATTACAAGGAAGTTTATCCCATAGAAGAAATTTATGTTATGGAGGGCCTAGATTCTCTCAAGCACAAGTTCTCCTTGCTAGTCTCTTAGTAGTCCATCTTTCAGCCCTGCTCTTTCATTCTCCAGCTCCCTTCTAGTCTGGGCTGACACTCCACCCAGTCAGGTAGCCAAGTCAACATAAGAAAGCCCTTCCTGACTGCTCAAGGGCAAGATACCTCTTAAGGTGTTTTTCTCTTTTCCTCAGTCCAATAAACTATCAACTATTCCTGAGGTTGTGCAGGAAGGACAGAACAGTGTTATCCTACACTCCACCTTACTTTTTTTTCCATAATTTTCTTTCTTTCTTTCTTTCTTTCTTTCTTGCTTGCTTGCTTGCTTCCTTTCTTTCTTTCTTTCTTCTTATATTTATTTATTGAATCACTGTGGGAAAAGTTGCAAAGCTTTCAGATTTAAGTCTCAGTCATACAATGATCAAACACCGTTTTCTTCAACCTTCACCAGTACTCATTTTTCACCACCAAGAACCCCAATATACCCCACCTCCCACCCACCCAATGCCTATGAGGCAAATGATTTCTAATTAACTCTTCTCTACATTGATTACATTCATTATTTTGACAAAAGATGCACCATGATTGCTTAGAATTTACCCCCCAACAATCAGAATGGCTGAAAAGGCATTGTGAAATACATTGTTTTCTATATAAAGTTCGGAGTTCCGGGGCTGGAGAGATAACACAGGGGTAGGACGTTTGCCTTTCACGTGGCCAACCCGGGTTCGAGTCCCAGCATCCATATGTTCCCCTGAGCAATGCCAGGAGTAACTCCTGAGTGCAGAGCCAGGAGTAACTCCTGAGTGCAGAGCCAGGAGTAAACCCTGTGAGTGCAGAGCCAGGAATAACCCTTGTGCATCGCCAGGTGTGACCCAAAAAGCAAAAAAAAAAAAAAAAAGTTTGGAATTCCTCCCCTCCAAACACAGGTGTGATGCCCTGTGTTTCGTTGAGCAAGCAGAAGGAAAGCAAAGAGCTTGGGCCCAGTGGTTGATGCAGATTGCTGGGCCAGGCCGTCGATCAAGGGAGATTTGGGGATCTCTGGGACCCATCCTCGGGCCCAGTGCTCTCCGGGGCCCCTAGCTTGGTCGTGTCCTACGAGTTGGGGGTGAGCCTGGCCTTTGGGCTCGCGTTGTGTTTGGACGGGCAGGTGGGGGTGTTCAGGGCCCAGCTGCTGACACCTGATCCCGCCCTGGCCAGGTGGGAGGACGGAGATTGGCAGCTGGCCCCTGAGATGCCCAAGATAAGCAGTCAAGGAGATAACCAGAGTCAATCCCAGTCGAGCTGGGTGATAGGCTGAGATAATGCACAGAGCCACTGAGGCAGATCCTGTCTGGAGACACTCGGGCACCTTGATCGCAGGCAGGCCTGACCTGGCGGGGGGCGGGGGCGAGTTGGCACCAACCTCGGCGTTTCCGTGGCTCGGAGCTTCCGTGCCCTTCGGCTTGCTCTGCTGTAGTTTTGTTTTTGGGTCACACCTGGACGTGCTCCGGGGTCACTCTTGGCTCTGCACTCAGGACTTACTCCTGGAGGTGCTCGGGGGTCCCTATGGGATGCCGGGATTGAACCCGGGTCAGTTGTGTGCAAGGCAAATGCCCTCCCCGCTGTACTAGACTTCTGGCCCCAAGGCCCAAAACTTAAAGAAAAATCCTTGCTGGGGTTTCCCCGTCCCTGGCGTCCTGTCAGCCTCCTGGGTCTGCACACGGCTTGTGCGACTGCCTCGAGTGGCCAGTGACAAGGGCGCCTGCGTGTCCTCCTGCTCCCCAGGGCTGCTCTCTGCCCGGTGCTCCCGGCCCTGCAGTCCTCAACTCCTGCCCTGTGTTCACTCCTCCTTTCTGTGGTGTCCCCCTCCTCTCTCGGTGGCCCTCCCACTGGGGTCACCCCCCTTCCTGCGTGGTACTGGGACAGCAGAGTTGCCGGGTTTGTGCCGGCTTTGTGCCAGGTGCATGGTTGACCCCGGGGGCTTGGATTCAGGACCTCATGCTTGTGAGGCAGTGCTCAAAACCCCCTCTTGTACATTCCTCCCCTCCAAGCTGAAGGAACGGACTTGACCCATGTTCAGGCTCACACTTCTGCTTCCTGCCGAATCACTGCCGGCCGCTAG